TGTGTGGAACTGCATATTGCTTTAAGTTGTTCAGGTGTGGTTATTTAAATAGTGATACATTGATTTGACATTGGCCTACTGATTAAAGAATGTGTGAATACCTTTAGAACTACAAAAACAATGTCAGTAATGAAAAGACAACTGCATCCTGGAAGAAAACATCCGCTCATCACTGAGTTAACAACCAGGTGTTCTCCTCAATAAGTCAAATATCACCTCCGACTAGCTGATTGTGTTCTATTGTTTATCTTTCTTTTCAAACAATGAAAGCTAAGTTGAAAACATTAATAGCCACTGTTAAGACAATGGCTTTTACTTAGACTGTGATTGTCCTTGTAAAAAGTGGACAGAATGTAACAATGTTTGGTTTAATTTGATGAACGTTCTGGTTACGATAATTCATTATTATCATAGTAGTGTCTACAGCATACATGAATTCCTGTTAGAGGATGATCTCTTGTCATCGGTGAATGTCTGATTCAAGATGAAGTTTCCAATGAAACTAAATAAATAAAAGTAGTTAACAGAAAGAGTCATTAAATTTTTAAATTATATTTGATGAGAACTTCTATAACGGGGCGTGAATCATTTACACTCAGAGAAAAGCATTTCAACATACCTTCTAGAGAACCAATATTTACGGAAGACATGCATGTAGTGAATGAAACTTCAGACTTCAACATGAAGTCTGAGCTGAAGGTACTGCCTTGAAAGACTGTGAAATCTTAGCAACTAAACCCGCTCACGAAACGCAACCCCAATATAACTTTGGAAAATCCTCTGAGATATCTGAAAGTCTTTCAATTTAATAGAGTTCAGTTACTGACAAACTTCTTAGGTGAAATGAATCTTCATTTCAGAGATCATCTGTACCACCATGCTAGACAAAGTAAACGGTAGGAGCTTTTCTATGGTAAGAAACTTACTCTGCCAAATGATAATCCTCTTAAAATATAACTCATCAAACAGTACTTAGTTCAGTGTAAATTATTTTGGGTGTTTTGGAAAGACAGGAGAGATTGAATATAAGGTCAGTGAATAATAACGGTAGAATGATTAGCTTGATGTCTATGAGAAGTAATGTAAATCTGAGAACTGTTGGATCTGAGAAAGTATTGTGTTAATAATGATAATAGCAGCTTCATTCCAAACAGTATTTGTGGTACAGGTATGGAATTTTCAGCGTGCATTACAATATGTTGCATCTAATTACCTCATAAATTTTATAAAATTTTAAAATCAAAGACCAACACCAAAAAAGAAGATAAATAAAAATAAATAAATAAAAAGAAACAGTGTTGCGTTTCCATTTTAAACAATGCACCACAGGATATGAAGTATAAAATTGGCGTGTAATAGAAGATGAGAACAACAGTGTAATAGTAACGAAGAAAGGAAAACAAAAACTAATGGGACTATTTGTTAGAGTGCCGCAATGAGTTGATAATGTCATGCCAAACGGATTTCTCATCACATAACAGCTGTGCCAGATATGGTATTGTGGACGAATGGTTCTAAACGGTAGAACATAATCGTCCATCAGGATATGGTATTCGACCTACTGAAAAGGACATATGGTTGCAATACACTTATATATTTGTACATAATAATTATTCTCACAAAAGTTGTTTTTGGATAATAAGGTACTGAATTTGACAATAGTTTGAGTTCATTTTGAAAACTATTTTGATAGCAATCTTCATTTTTTCGAGAATTTTTGTTAATTAGCTTTAGAATTTTAATACCGCAAAAAGAAAATCACGTAAGTTCTCTAAAAAGGTGAAAAATCACAAATTCTATGGAACGGCGAATACAACTAACCCGGCGACAGAAATTTACAATTCGATCAGCTAAGTTATACTTACTTACTTACTTTACTTCGGCTATCTCCTACGGGAGGATGAGCCGGCTTCATGAACGTCTCGAATCATCGCTGCCCAGGCGCGGCAATTTGTAAGAGAGTTCATGAAGTTTCATGGGAATTAGGTACGAGTGATGTCCCCAGCATCGCTCGGCCTTTTGTTTGAGAGTGCAGCTCTAGCCTTTACACAACCAAGTGTGACCTACAAGGCAGTAGGAGTGGAGTAAGGAGTCCACTATCCATTGGCAGCCGGTGACCGGAGTTCGGTTCATACGCCTTTTTGAATGGGGCCAGACATCCAGGACATCCAACAAGCCCTTTGTCCATACGTCTGCCGGTGAGCTCCAGTGAATTTCTGTGTCTGATTATGTCTGATAATAATTTCGACATCATCCTCAGGATTGACAGGCGTGAATAAATTAAAATGTCTTAATTCTTTGTAAGAAGTTTCTGTTGAAGACCCTAAAAGTATTTGATTTTCTTTTTTCTGGATTAATCTCATACACCTAGTTCGCTCTCAATTTCAGTATTTTTCGAGCGGTTCTATTTTCTGAGCTAAACTGTTCTACCTACATTCCTCGAAAAGCTGATTCAGAACACGTTGAAGTATTCTGTTCGACTCGAATAGACAAGTGAATACTATCATTTGGTGTAATTTCTTTCTAGACACTTATGCAAGCCAATAACGCCTATCGTGCTTGATGTTCTAATGACGTTTATAAAGCCGAGTAGATCATATATTGTGTCCACAGTGTTTCAACTTTCTAAGGGGAACTGAAATAAAACTTCATCTGAAACTGCAGGTTTTCTGAAGTGATTTACTTTAATTCTGAAACAGGAATATGACATGAATGTTCCGGCAGAGTACAAGTGCATAATATCTGAATCATGCAATAAGAACAACTTTTGCAGAATAAGATAAACTGATTTTATTTCATAGGATTTTCGGTAGTTGTATACAACCTGAATAATAAACTTTATAAGCAATGAATGTGAAATAATTTTAAACATACTTTAGCCGACGAATAGTCGGTCGACTTTATACGAATAGAATAGCATGTCGAAAACACAGTCCAGGTATAAACTATGGTTAGTTAGACTCTTACAGCCTCTTCATACTGAGTTGGTGAAACACTGTGTAAAGGTTACTTTTGGATTTGTTGAAAAGATAAAAGATTTAAATGTTGACAATAAATTCATGATATCTTCTGACGTATCTTCCGTATTCACCAATGTACCACTTATGGAAACAATGGACTTTGTATGCGAAGAACTCATAAGACGAAACATCGATGTTGGCATTCCTATATCTTTTATGAAAGACCATCTCTTGAAATGCACAATGAATGTCCACTTTTTATTTAATAAGGAACTATATAGACACATCGACGGTGTGGCAATGGGGTCACCACTAGAACCCATTCTGGTCGACATTTTCCTTGCGAAACTAGAAAATGGCTCTTTGAACTCGAATTCTATTGTCGGTACATAGATGATACATTTTAGATTATGGGAAATGAGAAGGAAGCAAAGAGCATCCTGGATAAATCTAACGAGGTTCATCCTGCAAAACATTTTACTGTTGAGAAAGAAAAAGACTTTAGTATTTCATTTCTAGACGTCCTTATGACCAGAAAAGAGGATGGCCCAATAAACATAAGTGTATATAGAAAACCTACATCATTTTTTTCAGCTTCGTGCCATTGAAATACAAACGCACTCTGATAAAGTGCTTGGTTCACAGAGCAAGAGTAATTTGCTCGGATAAATGTCTTGATTTGGAACTTAGTAATATTAGACGGTTGCTAAGTGAAAATGGTTATCCGGAAAAGTTTATTGATAAGAATATGAATCTGAAATCGAAGCAGCCCAAGGTATCAACAGTTCCTAAAAAGGCCTTATTCTTACAAATTCAGTTCCTCGGGGACAACATCAGCGCGATACTAACACCGCCTTAGAAATGTGGTAAAAAGAGCATTCCCTGCTGTTGAATTACTATGTCTTCAAAACCATTCCGCTTTTGCGTTCAGGAGTAAAAGACAAACTGCCTAAGTTCGCCTCTTCAATGTGTATCTACCAATTTAACTGCTCCTGTGGAGCCAGTTACATAGGCCGTACAATTAGGCGTGTTTGTCGTCGAATTTCTGAATATCACCCTGCATGGTTAAGCAAAGGGCAAACAAAATCTATTTGCAGTGCTATTTTATCTCATCTTGTGGATACAAAACACAAGGTTGATATTAACCAGGCTTTCAAAGTCATTTACCGCATACCAACAAATCTTAAATTCGCCTAAAAAGGTTGTTTACTAAGTAGTGCTGAGGCTGTATAAATAATATAAGGATCTGTATAAACAAGCCTAATTTATGCATCTAAAAGAAGTTAGTTCAGACATTATCATTACCTAGGCCATCTAGGTTTGAGTGATCCTCAATTTTTGTGAAAAATTTTCCTAATTTTAGTTGATGTTTTATTTGCTATTATATCTTTATTAATAAAATAATTTAAGCATCTTTAATGAACTGCAGTTCGACTGATCTTACTTAACAAATAGGTTGTATTTAAAAAACACTAATATTGTTATTGACTACTAATCTAGAATATCCTATGTATAGAAGAATTTATCAATAAGGATATTCTTTGCTCAATTATTTTGTGTTTTATACGGGGATCTACAACAATCAGTTATGACTAAAACAGAGACATAATATAGAGCACACAAAAGAATGTTTTAGTATTGAAAGGTAATTCACTCAACTGACGAAAATCCTATGAAATAAACTCATCCTATACTGCAAAAGTTGTTCTGAACGCGTTATTTCAATTTGCCAAGGTAACTAACTGTATAGAATTTCTTAATAATTTAACTTATTTGATATAGAGCATAGTGATTAGAAATGAACTATACTCCTAGACTATATATTACAAAATCATTCGACTGAGGGATAGTCTCTCGTTGGTGTTCTCATCCTTATGTAAAAATAGGAGCGTATTATTCTCCTGAACTAGGAACCATGTGATAATGAACACGTGTTCAGATAAACTATGCACTCTGTTAGCATAACACACCAGTGGATAAAGGTATATATTTTAAAAAAACAAATTGGTAAATTCAATTTAGAAATAATATTGAACTCACTTTTAATAGAGTATAAATTGTTTCATCTATTCGTAAGCTTCACCATTAGGTATGAATTTTGAATGCCAGTTGCTGTTTTGAAATTCGATACGTACAACTCCCTAACTAATGCTAAAAACATACGCACACGTACAGGCACACGCACACACCCATGCACAACTAGCATCAGTTGACGCATACACAATAACAGTCATCCAGTTAGTCTAAAAGCAAAGTGATATACATAGAAATACACAGAGGTCACACAAACACACACACTGAGGTACACTCAAACAGGTGGTTATGCAAATAAACACACACATACAGACACACTAGCATAGAAACTAGAATAAACAATGAAATATACTAACTCAAGTCACACATAGAAAAATTCTACAATTGTGCTACTTTTTTGGTGATCACTTTTCAAGTAATAGGTCGATGGATGAATGGATGGATGTAGGTCGGAACAGGTAAAAATAAAAATTCATCACCCTTTAATGGTTCAGTGAATGATAAATATGCATATAAACATAATATACTACATTTGTCATAAGCACATTAACCACCTTGCTTCCTGTGTGTGTTGCACACCTGTACGTTTGCCAAACTATAGACTCATTGTTGATATTCGAATTTCTGATTGGTGTAATTCTGTCAACAAATCATATAGTAGTTATAACTAATAACTCACTTAACTTACAGAGTGGTCGAATAGTTCAGTGATTCAGGACATATGTAGATTATGAAAATAAACTGGTGATAGCTTGTTTGTTATTCTGTTTTATTTTTTTCTAGCTGAAAAAGTGCGAATATATCACTCGAGTTTGACTCACCTTTTGTAGGTGACTACACAAACGGTTATTGATTTACTTATTTATTAATTCATCAAAAGATATTTCGATAAGCGCTAAATTTCAATTTATTCTTGTCCTCGGAGGTTTGAATAGAATCATTTTGTCGTATAAAAGGAGTAAGTGAATATGCTGAACACACTATACCATGAAATGCTTGACATGATCATATCTGATCCTATCATGAGCTAACATCGATTAGAGAACCACTGAAAACCAGCGTTGGAGTACTGGACAGCTGCTGTTTCATCCTAGTTCGGGAATCATCGGCAGTACACACCCACTGGGGTTCGAACGCAGGACCTTCTGGTTACAAAGCTACCTTGTATACCATTCAACCGCTCTTTCATGTTTTTTAGCCTCATTACTAAGTTGTAATTTGTTACATGACCTAGATTCCACATGAGAATACTTACTTTACTTTACTTTACTTCGGCTATCTCCTACGGAGGATGAGCCGGCTTCATGAAAGTCTCGAACCATCACTGCTCAGGCGCGGCAATTTGTAAGCGAGTTCATGAAGTTTCATGGGAATTTGGTACGAGTGATGTCCCCAGCATCGCTCGGCCTTTTGTTTGAGAGTGCAGCTCTAGTCTTTACACAACCAAGTGTGACCTACAAGGCAGTAGGAGTGGAGTAAGGAGTCCACTATCCATTGGCAGCCGGTGACCGGAGTTCGGTTCATACGCCTTTGTGAATGGGGCCAGACATCCAGGACATCCAACAAGCCCTTTGTCCATACGTCTGCCGGTGAGCTCCAGTGAGCTTCATACGCCAGTCGTTGGAGGTTTGGAATCAGGGTTTAGCCATCTCCCCTAGACTGTCATCCAATGGACAGTCAACCCGGTGAAGAGCGCCGGGTAAAAAGGAAGGAATTACTGTGCAGTTTTGATAAACCTTCACCGTTAATTCAATAGACATCAAGCAATAAAGGAAAGGGGTTTATTATCTTGAATTCTGAATTACTAACTAGTTAACTTCGTAATTCTAAGAGAAAGTAGAGAATCCCGCTGGTAAAATGCTAGATAATAGAATTAAAACCTAATTACACAGCACACTTTTATTTCAAAAAGCTAAAATTTTATACAGAATTAATGCTGGTCATGCTATCCCCAGTTAAACAGTTTCAGTGGTAATAATATAATAATTCTGTACATTTCTCCAATTAGGTTATACATATATAATTTATTTCGCGTAAAGTTCATTGACTTTATTTTGGGTTTTGCCGCAACGCTAAAGAATAACCACAACTAAATTCTATCAGCTGATGCCTCAGTGTATTGTATTAATTAGCTCACTGGTTCCATTGGACATATAGTCAGTTAATTACAATGAAGACTGTAATTTAGATAGCTTATCTGGTTAGAGTTCGGTAATACTTTGTTATGGAATATACCTGATTCAAATCGAAAAGGAGAGACAAGTCTCTTAGAAGTACAAAATACAGGTTTAGAGCAGACTTCAAACTGTTCAACGTTTTTAGCGCGAAAAAAATGATTCTATCCATTGATCATCAGTACATAACGAAAAATACCTTAAGCAGCAAACAATAAACACATAAAAGTACTCTGAAACAACTTGCACTTTTCCTTTTCTTGACTATTAAAATACCTTTTTATGATATTTGAAAGGACACTATTTGATTGATCTGTTAATCTCTGCTTAAACATAATTGATGGCAGTAACTATTAGTTAATAAAAAGTTCACCATTACACTTGTAGAAGTCAGAATATCTCTTAGCCTCTTTTTATGTGGTATCACAAACCATGTTGCGAAAATATTTTGAGTGAAGAGTTTTAATCTTCAGATTTTTCTTGGTCGATATGAATTAACTCGAATAAGATTAATCAAGCCAATTATCACCTAGCGGAAAAAAATACGTTTTTATTTATCTTTCTTCTAGATATTTCAGTTACAACTCTTTAAAAAAAACCTAAATATCAAAAGCAGTCAGCTTCCTTGTCGAAGTCAAAACATACATTCACATCTAAATTTTACGGTTAAACATTGAATTATTCTTCTGTGAAGAATCTAACTCCCATTTCATGATTCTAACTCACAATGAAATTGAATCTTCAAGTATTGGTTTATAGGGATATGATTGATTGGTTACAGGACTTTACCATGAGCTGACATTGGCTAGAGAACCATTGGAAAACCTGAGAGTACTGGACTCTTCATCAGCACACACTCACCGGGGTTTGAACCCAGAACCTTCTGGTTACAAGGCGAACTTGTAGACCATTAAGCCATCGGGGCCCGATCAAAATACCCACCGGACACAGTGGCTAAGGCTATGTCGTGAATTGGCAGAAGTTAGAATTCATGGGCCATTGGGTCGGGTCCAAATGGCTTAATGGTCTACGAGCTCGCCTTGTAACCAGAAGGTCCTGGTTCGAACCCCGGTGGGTGCGTATCGATGAAGAGTCCCAAGCTAGGACGAAAAGTCTGTTCAGTACTCTCAGGTTTTTCAATGTTCTCTAAGCAGTGTCTGCTCATGATCAAATCCTGTAACGAAATTGAATCTATTTCCTTCTTTTCGATAATTAATGTAAGACTAAAGTCTACAAAACATTTTAGCATTTTTCGCCTAGATGAAATATAAAAATTTTGTTTTCAAATCAGATATGGTTTTGGCTTCATCAGGAGAAGTGAACCGAGGTCAAACACAGTTTGCTTCTCATAATACTGTCGGTAGAGATTGTATTCTGATAGCCATTCACCGTTTTGCAGTCGTGTTGCACCACAGCGACGTCACTCAGTGGTCTCCCTGGTGTGTACCCAATTCATCGTCATTTTTTTCTTCGTTGAGTAGTAGGTCCTTGACTGGCTCTTTTCCAGAGTTCCTTCTGCTAAATCTTTCTGGCCACCTCATCTTCAGTATCGACGGAAGGCACCTGTCGATAAAAGTCTAAATCCTGCCGGAAATCCTTTCGGTGACTCTCCAAGTCTGTGAAGCGTTTAAAAGAACTGGCTTGATAATAGTTTTGAAAGTCTGAATCTTGTTTTTTATGCTGATTGCAGCAGAATTCTACACTGATTTCAGATTATTGAGGATCTGTCTTGCCTTTCTTATTCCAGTTTCGACATCCTCACCCATGCCGCCTGTAATTGGAACGATGCTGCCGCGATAAGTGACCTCCTTTAAATCTCTTCCGTTGATAGTGAGTGGAGCTTGTTGTTGCTGGTGGTCGGTGGATATCTTCACCACTTCTGCCTTATCTGTGTTCACTTGAAATCTTGTCTTTTTTGCCCGCTTCTTCAGCCAACTTTGTGGTTATCGTCTGTAACTCTTGAAGTCCATATGACATTAGACGTAGATCGCCTGCGAAGTCCAGATCTTACTCACACTGCTCATCTGTCCGACGTGTTCTTGTCATCTCGATCCTCACAGTGTGCCGTATGCTGCGATCCACCACTATCAGGAATATCATCGGTGATAGTAAGCAGTCAGTGAAATACGTAAAAATAACAGGTATATTATCATGTTTAACTGACTTTTATTTGAATGTTGATATTTCAACATTTATTTAGTATACTGCTGTCAAATTGAAATCACTTACAATCAAACGATTAAGATTCACGCTTGGTTATTTCAGTGATGTGAAAAAATTTGAGACTCGTAAAATCCGTCATAAACAATTGAAGTGCATATTTATAGGTGATTGGTAAAAAGAAACTGTTTTTCCTACTAAATTTATTCATACTATTTTAGGAATTCCAACCCTTCTAATTTATCCTAGTGACTTATTCATCACAATCTTCCAGTGATTCGTCCGATAACTAGTTTCATACTGCTTTTGCAAGTGCTGGTAGAGGTCGAATACTAAATTATTCAATGTTATGCCTAAAGTTTAATACTTTGCATCGAACCCTAAGTTTAATTTCTTCTTAAATACAAACCTTACAGATTCGTACTCATACAGTACTGTTAATATGGAATTCGGACGACCGTCAGAAAAGTAGAAATTCATGACAAATTTATCTCTAATAGAACAGTTTCAAATAATAAATACTAGGTTACTTGTAGTAATGTACAAATACTGTTGGGAGTTATATATTTACAGTAATAGATTTGGATGTCATATGAGTCTAGCCATTGTGGTGATCCACCGACCAGCTTTTGTTTTGACTTTCATGGTTCTAACGGGTCACCGAAATGAACCAGAGGGCGTGTAGTTTTAAACCTTGATGCCATTGTTGAATATGATATTTCGACAAACGTATAAGGCTTCTAAGGGACAGACGTAATATATAATGCCGCTAATTAATTAAAACAGTATTCTAAACCAATTTCAGTCTTTGAAGTCACTGTGTTTGCATTCAGATCACGGGGTCATATTTCTCTTTTCATCTTTGTGGAATTGAAATTAGAAATACCCATCTTATTTAATATTATGTCATTCGAAATCAAATACCAGAAATTAGTGTGATAACAGTGCGTGTTTATCTTACGGTAGTGATAAAAATAGCTAGAGTGGAGCATGTGAACAGAAGTGGGTTGAAGTAATTATCTAGTCCGCAGTTAATGGCTAACAGTCGTATGGTAAAGTTCTTGT